TTTTAATTGAAAAAAATTAATATATTATTTATCTATATTTTTTGGTTTTTAAATCTAACTCTAAAAATAATAAATAAAAAAGATGATATATGTTGGTTAATTTTTGTTTTCAAAAACCGATATAGATGTAACAATACAGAGACATATAACATCTACTACTGCTCTGTTCATGAGGTGGCGGGTGGTGGCTAGTGTTGGGTGGTAAAAAAAAAAAAACTGAAAACTCAAAATGGAAACACATTTTTTGTGTTTTCATTTTTTAGCCAAATTTATAAACTGAGACCACTGATTTATAAATCAAAAATTTTATCAAACAAGTTTTTATTTGAATTTTTTAAATTTTTGTAAATATAAACAAAAAACTGAAAACGTAAGTGTTACCAAACAGCACCTATGTATTCCATGATTTTTATTTTAGGTTTTCGTTTTTAAAACAATAACAACCTTTTGGCAAAAAAAAATTGAAAATAGAGAATCATAGGGGTGAGCATGGTCCGGATTGGAGTAAAATCAGGACCAATCCGTTATCTACGGATCCTGAAAAATTGGAACCAATCCAATCCGTTTTAATCGTGGAACCAATCCGAACCAATCCATTTAAATACGGATTGGATCGGTTTAGGATCACGAATTTATATAATTAAATAACAAAAATATATATATAACACTTTATTTTCATAAAAATATAAATATAGCACCATATTAGTTTTAAAATAGCAACATGTCTTTTCATAATAGCGACAAACTGTTCTAGAATTTAAATAATCATAAAGAAACTAGTTCTACCATAAGTATTTAGACTATTACAAATTAACACTAAAAACTAGCAAACAAAAGTAATAAAAAAAGATACTATCCAAGTTTAGGTTTGGATTTAAGTTTTATATGAAATAAGAGAAGATACTATGCAAGAGGATGTATAATAAAAATATAAACTATTTGTATACGGTCCGGATCGGTTCCAATCCGGAACCGTGAGATTCAATCCGGAACCAATCCGTGAACTACGGATTTTTAATTTTTCAATCCGGAACCGAACCACGGATTCAAAAAATCAATCCAAACCTACTGAATTGAACTGGATTAGATCGAATTACGAATTTCACGGATTCATTCCTCAGCCCTTGAGAATCATTGGCCTCAGCAGACGGGAGTAGTCAGTTTGGCCCATGGACCCACTTTAGACCTCACTTCTGACGTCACTTCGTTGATCCATTCTATTTAATTTTTAGATTTTAAGGTATAGATTCTCAATATATAAAATCAAATCAATTCGTTATTAATATCTATAGAAGTTTTATCTTTGGTTTCAAGAAAAATAATCAATTTATTTTTAAAATCATATTTATCACCATTTTTATGAAGTCAAATATATAACTGTGATTATCGAATTGATTTTTTTTAATGAATAATCTATATATTAAATATTTTAAAATAAATAAATAAAAGAACAGTTTGGAGAGTAGTTGAGCTTATTAGGCCTATTTTGAGGCCGACTTGTGTGATCCAAAACATTAACTTTTTAGTACTAATTGATAGAATAACTATGCAAAAAAATTAAGATGATTGGATAATAGTAACTATATGTTTCAATCACATATGTTTAAAAAAAAAAAAATGAATGCCGAATATAATTTTAAAAATAGTCATCTATTTTATGAAATATAAATATAATTCAAATATAAAACTATCCATATTTGGCTATCTTAATTTTTTGCATTAATATATTCTATTTAACAAATTTTAAAAATTCAACAATTTAAATTATCAAGGTCTGTGACAAAACGGACCCAAGCCCAAACTATTCAATCATATTAAATGGCCAATTTGAAAAAATCCTAATCCAATAAGTAATGGGGAACTGACTGAAAAGTCTTATTAGGAAGATGGGTGCACCAATAAGTTCTCTTGACTTTTTGATGCATTAAAAAATTTTGTTCATTTTTAATTATTATCACAAAATCATATATTTTTTAAAATTTTTCTAGCCGCGTTTTTATAAATAGTTTCACTAATGGTTAGTTTAGCGACATTTTAAAAAATTTGGTATAGATAAAAAAAAGTCACTAATTGTCATTTTTTAGTGATAAATTTAAAAAATTATCATAAAAAAATGTCATTAATTGTCAATTTTTAGCGACAGATTTAAAAGATTGTCAAAAAAATTCTTTTTTAGCGACGATTCTGATAGAACTAACTTTCAATGATGAATTGATAAGACTCAATGAGAATTGATATGACGTACAATTATTAGAATTTTTTGATCTATACAAACACTTGTGGTATTTAATGGTGCGCATGACTTGTGAGTAATTAGGGTTTAGTTTTGGGCTTAGTAAGTTCATTTTAGAACCGATTTCGGTGATTTAAATTTTTCATTTTTTAAGATTCGGTGAGTAGAATATAAATGTAAAATATTAAAATGATTAGATATTAGTAGTTACATGTCGGGCTGGATTAGAGGGCACTGTTGGGCTTGTGGGGCCCCACCACGGGTTTTATTTTGACAATTTGAATCGTTTAATGTGTAGAACTCGTTAAGCACTATATATATGTAAAAAAATCACGTTGATCGGATATCGATAGTTATCTCATCGGATCATATTTCTATCAACCGTTTATTTTTTCACCATCCATTTTTTTTTAACACAAAACTGATTTGATCGCATAACTATCGATGGTCGATCAATGTGATTTTTACAGATATATTATACTCGATGAGTACTACATATTTAACAATTCATATTATCAAACGGGGATTCTTAATAGGTCACTGCAGACCCAACAATACTCTCTAGTTTGTGATTGGATGATTGGAGGGAAGCCAAGCCCTTATACGTAATAGACCACACAAACCAACCGGACTGGATGGTCCAGTCCACTGGCTATGCTCTTTTTGTAATAACACAGTTTCTATAATTTTTTTCACTGAAATATGTAATAAAAATAATATTTTTCCCAATAATAATAAAATTATTGATTTATGCACGCCTGTCTTACGCAGATTGTGAAGTTATTAGGCGGTGCTGGAGCTTTTCAACATTCATCCTCTCCTACCCATTATAGTCTTGCTGGTTTTTTGAAGTCGCCGGAGAGAAGGATCGAAAAAATAATTAAAAGTAGTCTTTTCCTAGAAGTTTTCTTAAATCCAAACTTTTTCTCAATGACGATGGAGACACGGAATGCGATACTGGTTGTAGCTGTACTAGTTACAACGAGTACCTACCAGGCTATACTTAACCCCCCAGGTGGAGTAAGAGGACTTGGTGGTGGCGACAACAACAATAATCAGCTAACTACCAACACCAATGGTACTTTTATAAATGCCACCATCATCTCTACTACCGGTCTTCCTACTAATGTCAGTCTTTTTAATGCCACCATATTCACCCCCAGTGCCACCAACACAACCTACAATCCTGCCAACCAAGTGCTATATCATGATGCTACTTTTAAAAAAGATATTACATACGGAGAATTCTTCACCCGATTTTATTTCCTCAACACAGTATGCTTTTTTTGCTCAATCGTAACAATTGTCGCTATCCTCCCACTGAAACGTCATACTATCATGTTGTACTGCACCATATCCTTTCTGATTATGAGCTACGGGTGCTCATTTTACGTCATATCACCATCACATTCCAATACTAACTATTTTATTAATGGATCATATATATTTGCTATTTGTTTTGTTTCACTGGTGATGTATCCTATCACCTTCGGGGTAATAGTGATTCGGGTTTGCATGTTACGCTCACACCATCTTAGGGAACGCGTTGAAATGCTAAAGCTTTGTTTAAAGGGTCGACTCCAAAAATCAGATTAGCCACAGCCAAACATAATGCATTTTATGTGGTGGTGCATGAATGGATTCTTCAAAAAGTGACATATATCTGACCCCTGTAATTGCCGGTTTCGAATTGCAATCTCTCTTGTGAACGTGCTTGGTGTATCTTTATTACTTAGCCTAAAGAACAAGATACTTTTGGTTGGTTTGGTATGTTTGTTTTGCCTTTTGATGGCATCTCTCAGCTTCATTTTTTTATGTTTTGGTTTTAATTTGAACCAACGTTTTGCAGCTTTCTGTGTGAGAGGGAGTATAAGCCTCTTGTCTAGTTTAGCTCTCTCTACTCTGCTGCATTGCGTATGGCTTTGGCTTTGTCTTTGTCTTATTGATGTTTCTCTTTGTACTCTCTTGCTTTACTTCAATAAAGCTTTAAGTTCCGTTCAAAAAAAATAAAGCTTTCAGTTGCTTCTATTTTTGGGCAAATTACACTGTTTAGTTCGTATATTTTGATTCTTATTTCATTTTAATTTTTGAATAATGCATGGGATCCCCTTTTGGGGGTCACCCCCTCACCTCCTTTGCCACGTGGCGGGTGGTGATTGGAGGAGCAGGAAAAAAAAGAAAAAGAAAAAGAAAATGTAACCAAGAGAGGGGGTCACAGGGGTGGGAGGAAAAGGGGGATGAATCATTGTTGTTAATTTTTATATTTTTAATTAATTTGTTTTTGACCATGAATTATGATTTTGTTTCAATTTTGGTCTAATTAGTTATAATTAATAATATTTTTGGGATAAATTACAAACACACCCTTTGAACTTGTTTAAAATACAAATTATCCTCTGTGATTTTGAAAACTACATCTCACCCCCTTAAAATTTCGAAGTTCATAACAAATGGCTAATTTTAATAATAAATCATCAAATTAATTAATAATTTTTAATAACATCATAAATTTATTTTAATTAATAATTAAGGTAATTTTATTATTATATATGAAAGCAGTTAGAAATTTTATTTTTTCAATTAATTATGTTAAATAAGCAATTTTATCAAAGGGGTATTTATAATTTTTCAAATTATAGGGGACAATCTATATTTTAAACAAATTTCAAGAGGTATGTTTGTAATTTACCTTTCATATATAAATATATATAGAAAATGAATACATAAACGACATGTGTTAAGTTTTATAAACGAAATTATATATTTATTCAACTTAGTGAGTTAATTTTAACCAACTTAGTAACCATTTTCTTTAAAAAAAATCCTAATTGACATTATCTATAAAACTAAATTAGCACAAAATATAGAATAAAAAATTACAATGGAACTAATTGAAATTGCATAGATTAAAATAAGGTAAGAGATAAAATTTAGGGAATATCAATATAATTTACCCCATATTTTTTTGAATTCATAAAAAAAAATAATAATAAAATTATTATTAACTTTTTTATCAAAAAATTAATATTAACTCAAAATTGAAAAATACATCAACACAAAAGGATTAATGAGAAAGTGCCAACGCCAACAAGATTATATCCAACTAAAGTTAACACAAACGAAAGGCAAATCATTTGCAAAAAAAAAAAAAGTCTTTAACACAAACGAAAGGTAAATCATTTGCAAACAAAAAACAGACTGGGCTCCTCTCCGGCTCTTAATCGGATTAAGGAGGTATTGTTCGGCCCATTTGGTTTATTTTAGAATTCCATTTCGATAATTAAAATTGTTTATGTTTTAAGATTCGTCGAGTATATCATCTTTGCAAAAAATAAAGTCGATCGAATAACGTAAATTAAATGTTCAGATCAATTTTGTATGGAAAAAAATAAACGGTTTATAAACAGTGAGAAAATAAAAGTTCATACAAAATTAATCTGAACACGTGATTGTCGTTATCCGATCAACTTGATTTTTTCGCAATGATAACATACTTGAGGAATCTTAAAATGTGAACGGCTTAGATTATCGAAACCCAAAAGTGGACTCAATAGACCAAATAATACCTATCTATAGTTCGATTAAGGACTGAAGAGAAACCTAGTAGTCCAAAAAGAACATAACCCTCAGGATCAAGTGAATAAGTTGATAAGAAGGAAATAGAAATCCACTCATGCCCAACTACATTCATTTGCAAAAAATAAAAATAAAATAAAATAATTTAGTTTAACATCCTTCTCCAACTTTTAGTAATGAGAGAGGTCCACAATATTTTTTTCTTTTGTAGTCTAAGGTCTCTCACCCACACTCATATATCACACCCTCTCTTTCATTCTCTCTTCTCTTTCTCTTCCTCTCCCCGTCATAGCCTCTTCGTCCGCTTCTCACAACGCTTCCTCCACCACTATAACTCTCTCTCTGAATCGATAACAATAACAAAATTGAACCAAACAACAATGGCCTTTTCAATATCAGGATTTTCCTCTCTGAATTTGATTTGCTTATCAAAATCTCACATCCCTTCTCTTTCTTCAAGCTTTCCACTTGGGTCGCTTAATCTTCAAAGCCATGGTAGCTCTGTCAATCATAACCCTAGTTTCGCAATTGTACTGAACAATAATAAGTTCCAAATAAGGAGAAACATAGTTAGATCGGTTGCCGAAGAAACCCTAATTCTAGAAGAGTTTGAGCAGCTCGTCTATGCTCTTACCATGTTGTAACGCCTCAAATTTCTAGCCCAAACGATAAGACAACAATCATGGCTCTTTTAAGGAAAATCGAATATAAATCTTCAAGCTTACATTACATGATACAATAGTTCTTCATGCAACAATACATTAATCCAACAACAAGTAAATAAACAAATAAATATTGCCAAGGGTTTACAAGTTTCCAAGGCTTGAGCTAGATTACACAAAACGGTTATTCAAACCCACAGAAACATAGCCCTTGGCTTACATACAAAGTCACAGCAAAATGAGAGTATTGTACTCCCAACACACATACTTTCACGCCCTTAGTTGGGTGGGATTACTACATCTTTTCTTGCACAAAAATCCCGTAGGGTGAGCATAAAGCCCAGTAGAAAATTTTTAACAAAGTATATACATTTTATACAAGTCTCAAGAGATGAAATGCACATGCCATGCTATGCCGTTTTTAAAGATAAATTACATTTTCATCTTTTGAAAATCATCATGCTCAATGGTATTATGCAATTTCAATTGTTCAAAACTTAACAATTTATTTCAAGGGCGGTAAATGCGACTCTGGTAATCCCTAGGTCGGTGTCTGCAAGTAGACTATACAAGTACTACCAAATTGTCATTTTTACTGGTATTAACCGGAAGGCTTGACACCTATCCGTGCGGGTTTTCGGTCTTTCACTCCGGACTTTCAGGCCAACTTATTCAATATCATCTACATCACCTATCAAGACTTATGAACGTATTTACCCCAAAACCATTCTATGAAAACTTGTTTTTCAACATTCTTTTCTCAATGCAAGTTTTCAAATCAACTTTCAAAATTTTATGTAATCAAATGAATTGATATGCCAATTTCACAAGATGAATATAAATACTTTTATTTCAATTCATCATCCAAGGAATAACACAATTGCATCTTCTCAAGTTTCCTTGACAATTAGTTATTTCAAGACTATTTCAACGTTTTGAACAATAATTTTCAAAATGAACAACAATTCTCATATTCCCTAAAAGTCATCATTTGTATAAATATAAATAAGAAATTTTCCAAACATCCATTTATTTTAACACACAAAATAAATATAACAATATCATTCATGGATTTTCAGTCTCCTTTAAAAAAAATCCCCAAATTCTAGATTTTCTCACCAAAACTATACAACTCAAATCTATTGAACGAAAACTTTTCAAAATCATCTTTTCCTCAATCAACGAAGATCAAAACCCATAAGATCATTTTAAAAGAACAAGAGACAAACCCACTTTCAAAATCGCTCAACTTCTTGAATCAACAATCAATTTTTAAAACTATCAAAAGATGATTTCAAAAATCATATAGATCTTGTAAAAATATATATATAACTCTAAGAAAATCCCTATCTCAAGTTTTGAAGAAAAAATGAGATGAAACCCCCAAAATCAACAGTGTCGAAACTTGATTTTCACCGTACACAACGAAGCCCTCGAGAAGTTAACCAACTTTGATGAAGAATTTATGGCAGAACTCTAATGGATCTTGAGAAATCAAGATTTTGATAAAATTTGGTGAGGGAAATGTAGAGAGAAGGGAGAGGAAGGGGTTTTAGAAAGACATATACAAAAGTGATCTGAAATATCAGATTCATGAACTGATATAACATGATCCGCTCGAGCGTGAAAAACCCCACTCGAGTGTCAAATACACTTTCCCAATACTTTTGCAAATAGGTCAAACTTCTGGAATCAAACATTCTCCGCTCGAGCGCATAAGCGGCCGCTCAAGCTGACAAGCAACTTCTAATGCATTTTGTATTTTTGCTTCGGGGGCGCTACCCGACATACTCAGCGAAGTGGCAAAATTGGGATCGCTACAACTTTCCCCTCTTAAAGAATTTCGTCCTTGAAATTTCAAATCAAACTACCCAAACAAAGGGTTTCTAGCGATCAAAACCACGCTATTTCATTTTCAAATCACAATACTAACTTTTAACCAAATCCCACCATTTCCACCATGGTTATCTCATTAACAACAACCTCCCAAATACGCATAAACATGAAATTTTCCAAAAAGTAATGGCAACTCTAAACAGCCTTATGCTTAAAACAACAACGCACATATCAACATGTGGTTAACAACTTTAAATACGTTTCCCTTAACACTAGGGAATGTTACAAAGAAAAGCAACTTAAGCATTTTCAAATAAATCCAGATATTTGGAGCAGACTTCCGCCTCCTGTTCTCACGTCGCTTCTTCAACCCCATGGTGTCTCCACAACACCTTTACCAACGGTATAGTTTTGCCCTGTAGCACTTGCTCTTGGGAATCTAATATTTGAACTGATCGTTCTTTGTAAGAGGCATCATCATCTACCTCCAAGTCAGCCTAATCAAGCACATGAGAATGGTCGGGTTCATACTTCCTAAGCATAGTTACATGAAATATGTTAAGTTGTAGCGGTAAAGCTAACTGGTATGCCACTTCCCCAATTCACTCTATGATCCCAAAAGGCCTAATGAACCTTGGAGATAATTTACCACTCTTACCAAATCTCATCAAACCCCGCCTTGGTGAGATTTTTAGGAGCACATGGTTACCAACTTTAAAAGATAAAGGTCGTCTCCTCTTATCGGCATAACTCTTTTGTCGGCTTTGGGCCGTAGTTAACCTCTTTCGAATGAGAACAACTTTCTCGGTTGTCTCTCTAACAATTTCCGGACCCAGTAACGGTGCATCACCCACTTTGGCCCAACAAACAGGTGATCTACATGGTCGGCCATACAAGGCCTCAAATGGTGCCATCT